CCAGCGCGCAGGCGGACACACGTGCCCGTGGACACACGCAGGACCCCACAGCCACGGTCACACACACGCACGCGCATGCACTCACCTCCACCCAGAACCAGGTCCCGCAGGGTCCCGCACGACTCCTGCACCCGCCGGGGTGCAGCTAGCGGCACCCGGGCGGGGGTCGTGCGGGTCCCGCCTTGGGTTCCCCGGCCCGGCCTCCAGGGACGCCTCCCGGGAGTGGGGGCGGCGTCAAGTGCGCGCGCTCCGCCCCGTCGGGGCGCGGCCGCCGCGACCGCGCACCTAGTCCCGGGCAGCCCGGAGCGGCGCTGCCAGGACCCCGCGACTCTCTGCGCACCGTGAGTGAAGGGGGGGGGGGGTGGCCCTCGCCAGCGCGCGACCCCCGGGAGCGTCCTGCAAAGCGTTGGCACCCAGAAGGCGCCTTGCCCGGGCCGCGCGCGCGCTCAGCCCGTCCGGCCGCCCCGTCGGGGGCTTGGCGCGCTCTGCCAGGGCGCACCCAAGGGTCCAGCACTTCCCCCACCACGGCACGCCCCCGGGTGCCTCCTGCGAGCCGCCTTCTGCCCCTGTGCTCGCTCGCAGCCCCTCCCCGCGTTCCTGAGCTGCTGGGTGTGCAGCCCCGGGGTCAGATGCGCAGGGGCGCGGCCGTGTTTGTGCCGTTCAAGCCCGGGTAGTGCCGGTGCTGGCGGGTCTCCGGGACCAGCCGGCAGGACGCTTGCTGGGCACACGGCCTGCCAGGAGTGACCCCTGAGCACAGGGCCAGGAGCCCAGGAGGAAGCCCTGAGCAGCACCGGGTGTGGCCCCCAAACCAAGAAAATTAAAAGAAATAAAAAGAAGAGGAGTACCAGCGCTAGGATTGGTGTTGCAGGGATGCGTCTGGCGCTGTTCTGGGAAAGGCCGGGAGGAGAGAGAGGTGACGCGTCTAACTCAGCCCAGTTCTGCCCCCCACCCCACCCCCCACACACACCCAGCTCCCACCCCACTCTGTGCTCAGGGCAGGGCTCCCAACTCTGTGCTCACGGCAGGGCTCCCAACCCTGTGCTCAGGGCAGGGCTCCCAACCCTGTGCTCACGGCAGGGCTCCCAACCCTGTGCTCAGGGCAGGGCTCCCAACTCTGTGCTCGGGGAATGGCTCCCAACTCTGTGCTCGGGGCAGGGCTCTCAACCCTGTGCTCAGGGCAGGGCTCCCAACCCTGCGCTCAGGGCAGGGCTCACTTCTCTCCCCCCAAAGGGCTGCAGTTGCGGCTGGGCGAGTGGTGAGCACAAGCGCGTTGGGTATCCCCGTATCTGCGCCTCTCCGATCTCTAAGCTCCTGCAAGCACTGACGGAATCCCCCGCTTACGGGGGCAACTGGGCACGAGGGATGAGTCATTTTTGCTGTGCCTGCAGAGGTCGGTGGCAGAGTGAGATTCCAGCCCAAACTTGAAGGGTTCGGACTCACGTCTCTGCAGGGACCACCAAGACGCCCTCAACCCCTAGCGGGACCTCGGGATAACAAGCCGCTAAGAAACTAGAAATTCTGCCAGGGCAGAAAGAGCCCTGCACTAGGCCTGCAGAAATTCTTATCAGCACTGAGGTCATGAGCCCTGGCCAGCAGCACCTCCATGTTGCCCAAGTCAGTGGTGCTGAAATCGCCTGAGGAGAGAAGCCTGTGAGAGAGAATTGAGTGTGTGTGTGGGGACTGAGGTATGTGAGCAGCCAGAGGTAGGGATGGAGGAAGGGGACGAGGGGATGCTGAGGTATGTATCAGGGAACTGAGGTGTGTGAGGGGACTGAGGTGTGTGTGAGAGGACTGAGGTATATGAGGGAACTGGGGTGTGTGAGGGGACTGAGGTGTGTGAGGGAATTGAAGTGTATGAGAGGGAACTGAGGTGGGTATCAAGGTATGTGTGAGGGGCCTGAGATGTGTATGAGAGGACTTAGGTGTGTGTGAGAGGACTGAGGTGTGTGTGAGAGGACTGAGGTGTGTGTGAGGGGACTGAGATATATGAGGGAACTGAGGTGTGTGAGGGGACTGAGGTGTGTGAGGGAACTGAAGTGTGTGAGAGGGGACTGAGGTAGGGTACCAAGGTATGTGTGAGTGGCCTGAGATGTGTGTGAGAGGACTGAGGTGTGTGTGAGAGGACTGAGGTGTGTGTGAGAGGACTGAGGTGTGTGTGAGGGGACTGAGGTGTGTGTGAGGGGATTGAGGTGTGTGAGGGAACTGAAGTGTGTGAGAAGAGACTGAGGTAGAGTATCAAGGTATGTGTGAGGGGCCTGAGGTGTTTGAGGGGACTGAGCTGTGAGAGGGAACTAAGGTATGTGTGAGGGGCCTGAAGTGTTTGAGAGGACTGAGGTGTGTGTGAGAGGACTGAGGTGTGTGTGAGGGGACTGAGGTGTGTATGTGTGCATGTGAGGGGACTGAGATGTGTATGAGGGGACTGAGGTGTGTGTGAGAGGACTGGGGTATATGAGGGGACTAAGGTGTGTATGTGTGTGTGAGGGGACTGAGGTGTGTATGAGGGGACTGAGGTGTGTGTGAGGGGACTGAGGTATATGAGGGGACTGAGGTATATGAGGGGACTGAGGTGTATATGAGGGGACTGAGGTGTGTGTGAGGGGACTGAGGTGTGTGAGGGGAACTGAGGTGTGTGTGAGGAGATCAAGGTGTATGTGAGGGGACCGAGGTGTATGTGAGGGGCCTGAGGTGTTTGAGGGGACTGAGGTGTGTATGAGGGGACTGAGGTGTTTGAGGCGATTGAGTTCTAAGACATATGTGAGGGCTATAGTTATGTATATGGTAGGTGAAGGAGCAGGTGGCCTGGAGGTGCGTAGGGATGTGTGTGTGTGTGTGTGTGTGTGTGTGTGTGTGAGAGAGAGAGAGAGAGAGAGAGAGAGAGAGAGAGAGAGATGAGGGGAAGCCTGGAGGTTTGAAAGGGCCTGTGGGTTTCCTCATGGAAGGGGTGTTGGCAGTGTCACCTCGCCCCCTTGGGAGAGTGCATGCCCGTGACAAGTGTCTTATGGAGCACTTGACCTGAGAGTTGACACCTCCGCTGGTCCTCCGGAGTGTCTTCTCTCCAATTTCAGTGAGGTCTCAGAGGGCCAGGATGGATCATCTCAAATCCGCTCTACAGATTAGTTCTAGCAAAGATGACAGGGATGTGAGATTGTCTCACCACAGCAGGCTCAGAATCTGCCCGTGTCCCAGCACACTCTCCCCTGGCTCCTGTACCTGCTGCTTGTCCTCACTTGAATGGTGCTTCCCAGCAGTTCTTCCCTGGGGCCTCCCAGCTATACCCTCACCTAACTCTTATCTCCTGCACTTTTGTTTCCCAGACTACGAACTGTCACAGCAGTTTTTCACTGTCTAGCTCTTCAACTAGAGAGATGTGGGGGAATGATGTAGGGGGATGTTGGCCATCCCTGCACCCAGCACCCAGCATCATTCCTGCCTGGATCTGTGCTCGGGAAACAAGCAGGTGAATTCGCCTCATCCTGTGCTACTTGCACGGGAACCCGGGGGAAGCCACCTACTCTCTGAACTGTAGTCACAACTGTAGAATGCATCCAGTGGTGGCACAGTTTCCCAGGTGTTGCCATGCTCCCAGGCCTCCTGTGGATAGACAGACCTGCCCCTAGGCATCACAGATCTCCCGTCCGCCCTCACTCATGGACGCTGCAGTGCTCACTCTCCTCCTTCCATCTCCTGCTCCCATCCACGCCTCACCGCTACCATACAGAGCACCCCTCTGCCAACAGCACCCATGGCAAATTGTCTCTTTGTGGAGGAAAGGCCTTTCCTTCCTCTTGGGCTGTGTGTTAGTAACGACTCCTGGAAACGCGTTCTCTCTACCGAGTATAACTGTGAGTAGGCAATCCTCATGGCGCCCAGAGCACATTTGTTAAAGGACAGTCCTGCTTGTTTGGCAAACCTCGGTGCGCAGTAAGCCACGTAACAGCATTTACTATGAGCCAGCGTTATGGTCAAGCAGATAACACACATTCCTTCGCATCTGCCGCATCACACTAAGCTGGAGGGGCCCTGTACAGGCCAAGGCCAAGGCCAGATGGGCTGACCAAATCATTAGCAATGTGGCACTGGCTTCAGAGCTCGAGGAAAAGGAATCTAATGTCGATAATCAATTGGGAAGGAGTTTTTTGTTTGTTTTGTTTCGGGTCGAAAACTGGTGGTGCTCAGGGCTGACTCCTGGCTCTGCCCTCGGGGATCACTCCTGGTAGGGCTCAGGGGACCATGTGAAAGTGCAGTGCAGGGGATTGAACCTGGGTTAGCCGCATGCAAGACAAGCGCCTTACCCACCGAAAGGTTTTAAATGGCCCATAAATTTTATTCAAATGAGAAAACACCTGATAGGAGACAAAGATAACGTTAGCGAAGTGGTAGTTATGTCATAAACTGACAAGACTTTGAACATGAGATCTGTGGAACGATCTTGGGATTATTATGAAAGAAAGGTGATCTGTGATAAATCATGGACTTCTCCCTGAGTCCGTGGGCATGGTCACAGTTCCTGGTTAATGAATAATTTTGTCCTGTGCAACATTCAGCAGGCATGCAGATATATGCTGAGCGTAATGTTCTGCGTGAAACTTGGCCAGATAGAGTTGCTGGGGGTTTCTTCTCCTTTGAAGATTCAGAGTTCGGGGTCAGGAATATAGTTCAGCAACAGTGAACAGGAAGATAGTTCAGGAACAGTGTTTGCCTTGCATGCGGCTGACCCAGGTTCAATCCCTGGCTCCCTATATGATCCCCTGAGTATACCCAGGAGTGATCCTGAGACCAGAGCCAGGAGTAAGCCCTGAGCAACGCTGGGAGTGGCCTCCCGAGATAAATAAAAATAAATATTTTCAGAGTCTGCCAAGGGAAGAAGTGTTGAGAGGAGCGTTTTCCAGGTCTGTGCCTGTTTTCAGGTGTGTGAGCTCCGTGTCGCAAACCAGAGGGCGGATCACATAGGTCCGTAACTGGTCTGTCTGTCTGTCTTTTTTACAGGTGTCCACCAAAACATGGCTTCCATCTTGAGATCAGCATGTAATTTCTCTGTCTTCTTGGGGAAATTCGTTTTCTCTATGCTGGAGTCCCTGGTCTTCACCGCCGTGCCAAGGCGACGAAAGAACGTCGCCGGTGAAATCGTTCTCATCACGGGCGCTGGGAGTGGACTCGGGAGGCTCTTGGCCTTGAAGTTTGCCCGCCTTGGATCCGTGCTTGTGCTCTGGGACATCAACAAGGAGGGCAATGAGGAGACGCTGCGCTTGGCCAGGGAGGCAGGGGCTGCCCAGGTGCACGCCTATACCTGTGACTGCAGCAGGAAGGAAGAGGTGTATCGCGTGGCAGATCAGGTACCGAAGGCGCTCGCTGAGTGTGTAGGTGGCGGGAGCTCTTGGAGAGCAGGGGCAATGCCCTGCCTGTCTCTGCTGTTTCCTCTCTCCGTGCCACTCTAATGCTGATAGCTGTAAAACTGGTTCGACAGCCCACAGCTAAAACCTGTCCAGGCTTTAGGGTCGCCTGGGCAGCCCCCATGGACACACAGGCTGGCGTTTATTCAGTACAGTATCACTGGACCCCACTCTGGTCCCAACACCCCAGCCCTTTGTTTGAGTTTGACAGAGACTTTGGAAACAGCCAGTAAGATCATCAAAATTTAATAGAAATATTATGGGGATGTTTTCATAAGGCAATTGGCAGACACCTTGAAAGGATGAAGTCATGATGATTTTCTGTTGTGTTCTTGCCTGGCTAAGTTCACTGGTCCATTGATCTGAACAACCCTCAAGTGTTTTCTTCTGTTCTTTCCTGGGAATGTGTTTACTGCCATCCTGGTTAAACTGAGTTCAGCTTATTTCACCCAGCAGACTATCCTCGCCTTGTGTTTTGTGTTAGGGTGACAATTTCCCACACCAATCCTCTTGTATCCAACATCCCTTAACTTTAAAAAAAAAGGCTTGGGGATGGGAGTTAGACTATTTGAGCTCTCACTGTATACAATATCACAGGCTGAGCACCAGGCCTGTGTTATATCACAACCCTGTGAAGAAATAATTATCTCCAGTTCACAAATAAGGAACCAAATTTCAGGCAGGTAAGGCACTCAGAATTAAGAGAGCAAACCAGTGGGAGAAAAACTGGGGGCACCGGTGATATGGGAAATGTAGACTGGTGAAGGGACGGATGTTGGAACACTGCATGACTGAATCCCCATGAACAACTTTGTAACTGTGTATGTCATGATGGTTCTGTATGTATAAGTTGAGAGAGAGAGAGAGAGAGAGAGAGAGAGAGAGAGAGAGAGAGAGAGGCAGCAGCAGAGTACACTGGCTGGACGTAAACCTGCTGATTCTGAGTACATGCTCTGACCACCAGGCCATCCTGACTGTGCTAACTCCAGTCACATAAGAGAAGCAGGTGGTAGAATCCACCTCTGTGAGTAAACGTGCAGATCCCATGATATCAAATAACCTGTTCAGGCCTAAGTCAGGAGTAGGCCAGAATGTCACCCCATTAGTCTGATTTTAAACCTGGTTGTTTTCCCCCCACCATGGTGCCCTTTGATTTCCTTTTGTGGGGGATGAGGCATTGGGCCTACACCCAGTGGTGCTCAGGGCTTACTCCTGGATCTGCACTCAGGGATCATTCCTAGCTGGGCTCAGAGGACCTTTTGGGGTGCCAGGGATTGAACCCAGGTTGACCACGTGCAAGGTGAACACCATACCAGCTGCTCTATCACTCCAGCCCTTACCCACTGCTTGCCTTTTATTTGGACTTCTTTGGACTTCCTTTGTAATCCTAAGAAAATCTGAATATTTCACTCACTTAAAGACTTAACCACAGTTTCTTCTTTCGATCACATAAAGGAAGCTTTCAGGAAAGCAGAGTCCCCATAGGAACAATCAGAACTAAGTAAAATCTTGCTTGGTTTAGGGGCCCTGTCTTGTTTAGGGGTTGTCTTTATGGGGAAGAATCCTGTGTCTTCACACGGCATTCCACACCATCTTCTCCTGGAAACACACCTTCTTTGGTGCCTACAAATATGCGGTTTAGTGGGTTGGAAAAAAACCCGCCTGAAGCAAAACGTGCAAGCCAAGTTCTTGCCAGGTGTCTTGTCTCTGGGTTGAATCCTCTGGCTCTTTCCGACATGTTTCCCAATAGCAAGTTGACAGGCCACTGGCAAGTGGGGCTTGTAACTTTTGTCTGCTTTACGTTGTATTTGTCTGCTGTGACCGTTGCTGCACCCTGCTGCCCAGTGTAATCTGGGAAATTGACCAGTGGGTATGGCCTTCCCCGAATAACCCTCAAAGCACATCTGTGTCTATACAGCAGCCTACTTCACCAGGGCAGCTCTCTGCTCTTTGGTTTTAAATTTAATTTTATTTGTTAAAAGTGTTCACAATTTTGATTTATTACATTCAATATCCAACACCAGTCCTGCCACCTTTTCACCTTCCCTCCACCATTATTTCTAATTTTCCCACCATCACCCAAGCCTGCCCTCAAAGCAGATGCTAAGTAATTTATTTCGTGCTGCTTGTTATGAATAATCCACTAAAAATGATCCCGAAAAGTTTCCTTAGAGAAAAGTGTGTGAAGGTTGTTTTATCTTACCCTGAAATCATTAAACCTTGTCTAAGAGATTACAAACATGTTGTTACAGGTTGAACCTTTGTGGTTATATATACATTTCCATTGGGATGAGATCCGTTCCCTTCTACTTTACACTCCATTCAATGTAGTTTGCTGCTCTTGGTACATCAGTGGTGTAGAGTGTGAGTGAGATGTCACTCCAGGAATTCTGAAATTTTAAATAGAGTGATACAGCTGGAGTTAATTTTTTTTAACTGGATGGTGACTTTGGGATCAGGAGGTCTTTCTGCAGGGTGTTGCTCTCTTCTGAGATTTATATGTTAGTCTCTGGATCGTGGCTGTTAGTGAGCTTATATGGCTCCAGAGTCAATTTGTGGGCGTGACTGCCAGGCTCCTGGAAGAACAGGTAGATGGGGGAGGTCACCCATTTCTGACTCCGTGAGAGCCTGGAGATTTCAGTCACAAAACCCACATTCCTGAGTTTTTCAGCAGATTCACTCATAGATGAGGCTCATCCAAGCCTGTGGAGATAGGCCGTGGGCCTGGAGGCAAGTGGGCTCTGGAGGTTTACAACTGCTGGGGCTTTGTTGAGCGGGTTGGGGGACTCACTCACCGTCCTCCAGGGTGCCCCAGATATATGGCAGCGTGCTCTTGACACGCCAAACATCTAGCACGTTGGCTTATGCAAATGACAAACTTCCCCACTTTTCAGCAAAACCCAACTCGTGTTCGAAGTGAAAGATTTTCATATATTGAGCAAACTAATATAAGGTGCTAAGTCATGAACTCCCACTTCTCCGTGTCTGTCTAAGGCCCTTTGTTGTCAGAAATGGTCGAAGTGATATGGATTATTATTCCGTTCTTTGAAGTCTTGAAGACAATTAAGTATATGCTTTTGTGAAATTGAGAGAGAAAAACTACTTTCCCTGTAAACACTAACCATCTCCACTTCTTTGTCTGAGTAGAAGGAAAGTCTTAGAGGATAGTGAAGTACTGCAAAGAGGAGTTAGTCAAGGGAAAAGTATTCCGAGCACAGGACAGTACTGTGGCTCCAGAGAGACCTTTACAATCTTGGCAACAAGTGTCCTGCCCTGGAGAATGTTACTTAGCAGTAAGCTCAGGAAGTGCACCTTTACTACTCGGCATCCTTGATGGAAGATTATTTTGAACAAGAAACACAAAACCAGACTGAAGATGTGTCACTCACCCAGGACATGGCTTGTCCTGTTGCATACTTAATGATTATGATCCCACAGACCAGCTTCTTAAACTTCCTTCACTCATGAGCTCTTTTTGCCACAGAAACTTTTATGTGATTCTGGGTATATAAAACACATACTAATCAAATATCTATGGTAAAAGGTAAAGGTAAAGGCCCTCCCGTTGATCGTCGATTTGCTCGAGCGGGCCGAGTAACGTCTCCATTGGAGACTTTGTTGTTACTGTGTCTGGCATATCGAATACTCTCGGTAGCTTGCCGGGCTCTCCGAGAGGGGCGGAGGAATCGAACTCGGGTCGGCCATGTTGGCCGCTTGTAAGGCGAACGCCCTACCCGCTGTGCTATTGCTCCTAAGTTATAATTATTTTGTGTGTGTGCACCACACCTTGCATCAGCAGTGTGCAAGGCAAACGCCCTATCCAATGTACTGCTGTCTCTGCCCTCATCAATTAATTTTTAATTGCGAACCCCACATTTAATTAGGTGACCCCAAAATCTAGGTCTTAGATGAGCCAAATCATAATCAATTTTGACTGACAGACCTAATTAACTAATCAACTTCATGGGTCCAGCAGAGGGAAAAAGCACTTTATTTCTGAAAATTTCTTAATAATATATAGATGACTCCTGATGCCTACAGTTAAATCTCAGGATCTTTTCACCTTTTAAACTTGCCGAAGTCCCTGAGAGAAGCTGACCTTGTTCTGTTGCCTGCTGCCACTGATAAACAGAGCTCGGGAAACTCAAATCCATTTTCTTGGGCAGTTTTGTGTTAGATACTGGAATGCCTTCCTGCAACGCCCTGTTCTCATAATATGGCTAACCATGGAGAAGTCAGAGCAAGCAGGTATGCATAGTTATGCTAGAGTCATCATCTATGGTTGAGCAAACTATTGCCACATTCTTACCAGAAGGAGTATTTCAAGAAAGAGAAGGAAGGGGAACAGGAGGAGGAGGAAGAGAAAAACTAATTAAAGACTAGACTTTTCCAGATCTAAAGAGATAGTACAGCAGGTGGGGCAATTGCCTTGAAAACGGCCAACTCAGTTTCAATCCTTGGCACCTGTATGACCCTCTGAGTCCCACCAAGAGAGATCCCTGAGGACACAGCCAGGAGTAAGCCCTGAGTACAGCCATACATGGTCCCCAAAACAAAAGCAGAGCAAATAAAAATTAGTACTTTCTCTTCGAAGGGATCCCTGGAGCCCTGGACTCTTTTTATCAAACAACACAATACTGACAAACTTACCCTCTTTCCAAAGATGAATGTTTTATTGCCTTACCATTGGTTCATTATTTGGTTAATTCACATACGGGACTGTAGTGTAGCAGAGATCAAATCCTCATGATGCCTTTGAATGCTTACCTAAGAGAAAAATGTGTAATATGTATATCTGTGCTATTTTTTTTTTACTTTTTTGGTCACACCCAGCGATGCACAGTGGTTATTCCTTGCTCTGCTCTCAGGAATTAGTCCTGTCAGAGCTCGGAGAACCGTAAGGGATGTTGGAAATCGAACCTGGGTCGGCCACATGCAAGGCAAATGCCCTACTTGCTGTACCATCGCTTCAGCTCCAATCTATGGATATATTTTATACTTGAAGTAGGATATGGCTTCAGACAAATGAGGAACTATTACTGGTACTGGGACCTTCTGCCACAACAGCAAATGAGAGAGATGGCAACACCCCCCTGGCATTGTTAGTACCTCCTTCTCCATACCCAAGGCAGCAGGAAAGCGAGTGCCAATCCCCAGACTGTAGCACGGACACTCAACTCAGCTGTGTCACTGCTGTGAGCGGCTTGTTGGCATGGCTACCATAACTAGTGGCTTCTTTTGACCTTGGATTGGGAGGTGCAGATGACGGTCACTACATTCACCTGATATGAAAGGCCACAAGCTGAAGATTGACTCTAGGCAAGGGCCTCAAGGTCACCCCCAGATTTTAATTTTTTGCATGATCACTGAGGACTGACTGGTTCCCATCGCAGGAGCAAGCTAGGCCTACTGTCACCTCCCTTTTGAGGGAGGGATCCCTTATGACTAAAATGTACAATAGGAAGAAGAGAACCAACCAGCTAAAGACAGGACCAACTGGTTCTGAGCTATACTGAATGCTTAAAATGTTTCCTCCTACTCTGTCCCATCTCTAGATGCGCTAAATCTGGCTTTATGTGACATTTGTTTATAATGTCTTACACACGAGCCATAAACTTAAATGACATGTTACTTAGACAAAGCATAGAACCAAGTTACTAATCACTGAATGACGGAACAGCTCTGACTATGGAACCAGTAGAAGGACCAGAAATGAGAGGGAAAGGATTTGGATTTGCAGTACACTGAGGGCTCAGGAAGGGGGTATGGATTCGAGAGCCTCTGTTTTCAGATTGTGTACACTCAGGGTGAGATAACAAGAATGGAAGCTGGATAAAATTGGGAATAGGGAACTAACTCCAAATGCCGGGATGCAGGATGCTGGAGCCTTAGGTTAGACCTCTGGCACCACAGGGTCCCCCATGCAGTGCCAGGAGTGGCCCCTGAGAACCCCTGGGTATGGTCAGAAGCCAAAAAAGAGAAAATATAAGGTTATGGAGAAATTGATCTGTAATCATATGTGGAATTTCTATACTAATGATATTATTCACATTACTCAATTCAGGTTAAAAAAGAAGTTGGTGATGTTTCCATACTGATCAACAACGCCGGCATCGTCACCGGGAAAAAGTTCCTCAGTTGCCCAGATGGGCTTATGGAAAAATCTTTTGATGTGAATTTCAAAGCACACTTATGGGTAATTATGTTTTAGTTTGTTGTTGTTGTGCTAAATTGGAAGTGCGTTCCTAATGTTCTCTGACATTATTATTAGTATCTCAATATGTCACAGGCTTTCCACTTTAGACTGTCCTTGTCTACCCAGTTGTCTTCTCCTGATCTGACTGAAACTCTGTGTCCCTCAATCTCTACTTTGGTCAAGGCAGAGCAGTCCATGTGGTTGCTGTCATTTACTGTTTGTCAGTTCTGTGAGGGACCCTCCTAGGGGTCTCGTGCAGATGCTCTGAAGCATCTCTGGAGGAGAAGGGATTCATTCAAAGGCTTGCCCGAGGCTCCACGCCCGGGGACCTGGTGTACCCTAACTTTTGCCCACACTGAAACTCTTTTGAAAGTGAATAAGCATCACCAGTACGAAAGGCTCCGTGGATCAGGCTAAGTCAAGAGGTACAGTCTTCTCCCTCAGCATCGTAACGGGTTTCTCCCCATATCCTGGTGACTGCTTGCCGTGACATACAGGAACACAAACCTTTACACGGTGTTCAGAAGAACATTAGATTTCTCTGACTTTATCTGAGACGAGCCGTGTCGTTCCCACCACGCAATCTCTCCTTCTCCCTCTCCCAGTTCTTGAGCCCTTTTCCTTCCGACCCACTCACAGCCCTTCGTGCCCTGGAAAAGTTCTCTCCCTCTGGCCGGGGCAAATCCCGGAGCTCTCTGCCACCCCTCCAGCCTCCTCCTAAATTCCACAGGATCTTCCTGTTACACTCTCCTCGAGCAGCTTTGGATCCTGCATTTCACCAGAAATATACTGGTCCAGGTGGTGTTCTTGGCATTCTGTGTAGCTGTCGGGGAAAGACGGGGCTCCTACTGAGTGGACACCACTCCCCTTCAGGACCCATTCCCAGAGGCCTGTCCAGTCTCTCCCATATGTACCCCTATTAGCCTGATGATAAACTGCATCGTCAGGAAGAAGCCAAAGACCAGAGTCTCCGTAAAAGTCTCTTCTTGTTTAACTTTTGTGGGCTTTTTTTCCCCTGAGTCCTTCCTATCCCCCTTCTCCATATTGTTCCCAAATCACCAACATTCCCCTGCTCTCTCTCCCCACACTCTCTCTCTCTCTCTCTCTCTCTCTCTCTCTCTCTCTCTCTCTCTCTCTCTGGGAATCTTCCATGCCTTTTTTTTCTCTCTCCCTCTTTTTTATTTTAATGAATCACCGTGAGATAGTTACAGGCTTACAAGCTATTGTGATTAGGTTTCAGTCATACAATATTCGAGCACCCATCCCTCCACCAGTGTCCATTCTCCACCACCAATGGTCCCAGTGTCCCTCCCGCCCACCCACCCCCTGCCTCTGTGGCAGACACATTCCCTCTTACTCTCTCCTTTGGGGTGTTATGATTTGCAATATGGGTGCTAAGTGGCCATCATGTTTGGTCCTTAAGTCTACTTTCAGCACACATCTCCCATCCTGAGCGAACCTTCCAACCATCATTTACTTAGTGGTCCCTTCCGTATCCCAGCTGCCTTTTCCCCCATAATGTGAGGCCATCTTCCAAGCTGTGAGCGATCCTCCTGGCCCTTATTTCTACTATCCTTAGGTATTAGTCTCCTATTATGTTACTTTATATTCTACAAATGAGTACAGTCATCCTATGTCTGTCCCTTTCTCTCTGATTCATTTCACTTAGCATGATACTCTTCTATGCAAATTTCATGGTTTAAACTTTTCTGCCTTTTTAAAGCACTCAACAAAGCACCACTTCGTTGCTAGAGACTCACAGTGCTCTTCCCAACCCTGTGGAACAGTGGACAGAACTCCTCACAGACCAGGCATTTACTGGGCCACTGCTTTTCCTTCTCCAGCCTTGATATGGCTGTCTACGGACATACAAAGGCTCTATAGCTTTTAAAGATCCCTTGTTGGATTTTATATTGTTCATATTTTTTAAATAATGAAAAGTGTTCTATTTAATGCATGCTATATACACGATTACTAATGTTGATTAAGTACTTCTTTGTTAAAGAATACTTCTCCTCCAGTGCTCCCTACCCTCAGTTCCCCTTCTTTCTCTGCATCTCCCACCAAAGTGGAACTTTGAAAGCAATGAAACATAAAACATGTACTTTTTCTTTAACAGATGTTATCTTTTATATCATGCTGTAAAAATAAGAAATCTGTCATTCTATGACTGAAATCCAAGCACAAAAATTTGTAAATCTACAACTGTACCTCATGGCGTTTCACTAATAAAAATCTAAATTAAAAAAAATAAATCGTTATTCAAAGTAGAAACACATATAAAAATACAAAGTGATATTTTTAAGTGAAACTAGCACTGGCATATGCTGAGAACAATGTTGAGAAAAATCAAAAAAAATACATGAGACAAGGAAAGGAAATCTAAATAATTATTAAATAATTGTGCTCTCAAGTACACTTACTGATTTGGGGACTGTGGCTGCTCAGATTTGGAATATACTGCTTCAATTCGTGTCTTAAAATTGTGCTCTTGAAAATTAAATATAAGAAATATATACGTCTCAACAAGTTACTTGTAATAATATTGGAATTGCCATCAGGATAATTCTGATGAAACAGGATAAACTAGTTAGGAGACTTACCTCCCACACGTTTGACTAATTTTATCCCAGAGTCTTTGTGTATCTCTATGAGCTTAAAAACCTTCAGCACAGTGATCATATAAACTCTGGAGAAAGATATGAAATTGGATGTGAAACATTAACAGTTTCCGTTGCTCTTCCTAGACTTACAAAGCCTTCCTACCTGCTATGCTCGCTGAGAACCATGGACACTTGGTTTGCATTTCAAGTGCAGCAGGATTGGTTGGAATAAATGGACTGGCAGGTAAGAAAAATGTAGTATTTTGCAGAACTTAAACTTACAACGTAGCTCTGAATGAAACACAGAACATGTACTTTTTCTTTAATAGATGTTATCTTTTATACCATGCTGTTAAAAAAAAAAGAAATTGTTATTCAACATAGAAACACATATAAAGATACAGGGAAAACACAATGAATTGGTCATTTCCCTGTATTTTTAAAGTTTTGATGCCCTGATAATAAAGGGTACCACATGGAGAGGTGTAGAAAAGAAGTGAGGGGCAAGTTCCTGATGCATCAGATTGTCCATCAGATTTATTGACTGCAACTATGCACTTTGGAATAAGCTGGTTTTATGCCGTCCACTGAGTTTTAAAGAGAGGGGGCAACTTCACTGATCCATGTTTTTACACCAGTGATTAGCATAATCACTGTGCCCGGAATTGAAGTAGCACTGTTACTGGGACAGTTAGGAGGAAGTTTCCATAAAGTTATGTCCCTGGCTTTGCATTTGGAGGAAGTTTCTCTACCCCCAAGAAATCTAAAATTAACTAACCTCTATGCTCCTCTGCTACTTGAAAACTTATAAGAAGTGGTTATTGTTTCCTTCTCCCTCCAAATGACTTGACATTAGCCATGGAGAGGCAAAAAGATTCCTCAGCATCTTGGACCAACTCAAGATCTGGCTCTCAGAAGAGCAGAAGCTTTTTTTTCTTACTCACCAGGGCATTCCTGGAGCAAGCGTTCTGACTGGTTTACACAGTCTCCTGGGAATCACCCATTAGAAAGCTAACCACCGTGGAATTTATGCCCAAATCAATCAGCATAAGCAGTGGCTGAATAAAAAGCAGTACTCCTACATTTAAAAGAAAGAAAGAAAGAAAGAAAGAAAGAAAGAAAGAAAGAAAGAAAGAAAGAAAGAAAGAAAGAAAGAAAGAGAGAGAGAGAAAGAAAGAGAGAGAGAGAGAAAGAAAGAAAGAAAGAAAGAAAGAAAGAAAGAAAGAAAGAAAGAAAGAGAGAGGAAGAAAGAAAGAAAGAAAGAAAGAAAGAAAGAAAGAAAGAAAGAAAGAAAGAAAGAAAGAAAGAAAGCCACAACAACCAGATAATAGAGAATCAATTTGCCAACTGTCAACTAGACACTAACACTTTGGGGCTAAGCAACCTATTTTGAGTTCGATGCTGTCTTAGTAGAGTTCATTTCAGTTGCCTACTGAGGTTTCTTCAGAATCTACACGAACCACCAGTCTCCCAACCATTACCAGTCTGTCTGTACATATCTCTACCATGGACTTTTCTTCCACTCTGCTTAGAATGTGTCGGGCATTTTCACCGCCTCTCTCTTATGTTTGATTAGTTGACGGTTCTTTAAAATAACAGTAGTGTGTCACAGCACCACGTAATTATTTGCCAACATTTTATCTCTACTCACTCTCACTTCACCTCAGAAGCAAGTACAGACCTTTAGCGACCTGTGGACTTGGCCCCCCCTGCCTCAGAATGACGAGGGGTTTGATGTAGAATAAGATGAGCCAATCACAGGGCAAAACATCTCATCAACATCTTGAGGGTTGAGAGGCTCCACTGGAGCAATCTTTGTACCAGATGCTCCACATGATCCTAGGAGTTGCTCGGGGCCCCTGTACCCTCCCCTCCCTGTGTCACCATGGTCACTGTCCCCATGACTCATCCTCATAGCTCTTGGTTCTTGCCACCTGTAGTAGCTGCTTTTTGGAAGAGCCAGTAAATGCGGCTCTGTTAAATGTGTGAGGCAAAGAAAGTACCTGAATATATCAGTGTCTTTCCTTCTACAATTATTTCTGTTCCGTGAAATGGATATCCAGCTGTTGGGCGTGTGACTGAAGACAGACGGGTCAGATCTGACAAGAGTGCCACGTCCCACTTCCCCTGCACTTTGAACATGCTTAAGAGGCAGTGACCAATCCTTTGTGTTTTCCCTGAAAATGGAACAAAGCCATTTGGGAGAAAACTTAAATCTTATTACCAACCCCTAGCTGACTTCTCTTCCTTTTTTTCTGTTTAAAAGATTGTGATGTGGGAACTCTTGTTGGGGAAGCTTCCCCTTCTCCTCCCTGTCTCCGTCTCTCTCTCTCTCTCTCTCTCTCTCTCTCTCTCTCTCTCTCTCTCTCTCTCTCTCTCTCTCTCTTTCCTTTTGGGTATTAATGGTTTGTGGTACAGGTACTGAGTGGTTATCGGGTATAACTCCGTTACCTTCTTTCAGCTCTCACTTCTTGTCCAGAGTGATCACTTCCAACGATCATTGCCAATGGTCCCTTCTCTGCCCTAACTGCCCTTCCCCTACCTCCTGCAACTTGTGGCAAGCTTCCAACTATTGGCCAGTCTACCTGGCCCTTGTTTCTACTGTCCTTGGGCATTAGTCTCATCCTACGTCTTCTTTATATCTCGCAAATGAGTGCAATCTTCTTGCCACTGACCTCTCTCATCTGCACTCCTCCGCCAATATTATTTCATTTCTCATGTGAATCTTCCTGATGGGTTGAAGTTCTTTGAAACAAGAAGTGGACCCTTGTGTCCCATGCGAAGTGACCAGTCTCTGACCCTACGTTCACATGGCAGAGCAGACCACTCCCATGCCCCCACCCCTCCAGGGATCCACGTGGCCCTGCCAACCAGCCTTGACAACTGACCACTGAGACCCTGTCCAGACACGCCTTTCCAATGAGAGAAGACCAAGGTCACACAACATTAGAACTGTGAAATCGGTACTCCACTCTGTCAATGTTAGTATGATGAAGAAATATGACTTTAAAATATACAGTAGCTGTGTTTGTCCTTTTTAGATTACTGTGCAAGTAAATTTGCAGCCTTCGGATTTGCTGAATCTGTACTTGTGGAATTGTTCGGCCAGAAAAAAGGGGGAATTAAAACCACAATCGTGTGTCCATTTTTTATAAACACTGGAATGTTTGATGGTTGTAGTACTGGGTGAGTTCCTTGGTTTCAAAGAAATTGCATTTAAAAAAAATAATGATTTGGGACCCAGGCTATGGTACAGCAGGTAAGGCCATTGCCTTGAATGTGGCCTACCCGGGTTCAGTCCATGGCCTTCCCTGTGGCCCCCTAACCCCAGCAGGAGTGACCTGACTGCAGATCCAGGAGTCAGCCTGCACACCATCAGGTGTGGCCCACAAACAAACATCATTTTCCACCTATGTTCTTTCTTTCTATCTGTTTACCGTGGGTTTATCACAGTGTGGAGTTCAGCTGTTTGGTATATTATAGGTATAGTCATACCTGTATAGGGATGATTGTCACACCCCTGTGCAATCCCCCCCCCCCCCCGCCCCGCACTAGAAAGATGAGCTGCTCACACTCCCACCCCTTTCCCTTGGTTTATACTGAGTCTGGGAGGCTATTTTGTTGTTACTGGTCAATTTATTTGCTTTAGGTGTTCAGATTCTACCTGTGAGTAAAGCTGTCTGTTACCTTTCACTCCATTACGTATTTACTTGCATAGTCACCTCAAATTCATTTATTCAAATTCATTTATTTTATCCACCAAAGCACAATTCCACCTTTTCCTTTTTTTTTCAGTTTATTATTCTGTTGAGGATATATACCACAGCATCTTTTTTTAAAAAGTTGTTTAAAACAGTATTTTTCAAGGATTCAGCCTGATTGATGATAGATTTCAGAGTACCTGTCTTACTCAAAATGCGTTCATGTTTAAGAAACTGATAACATACGTGGAGTTGTGTGTGACTCAGAGCCTGCCCCGAGATTCTTGCCCGTATCCTTCCTGCTCTTGGCACATGCCCTATCGGACACCCAGCTTCCTCCTCATTCCACAACATGACTCAGGAAGGGCCTCCAGTTTCCAATTTGGTATTATTGGTGACAAACAGGTGTTTTCTAAGACTTGCTTTGCAATAGTCATTGAGACTGCCCAAACAAACACTGCCATTGTTCATCGATTTGCTCGAGCGGGCCCAGTAACGTCTCCATTGTGAGACTTCTTGTTACTCTGTTTGGCATATTGAATACTCTCGGTAGCTTGCCAGGCTCTCCAAGAGGGTCAGAGGAATCGAACCTGGCTCGGCCGGGCTGGCTGCAGGCAAGGCAAACGCCCTACCACTGTGCTATCACTCCAAGCCTGTCATTGAGACTCCCTGTTGAATATGGTTTCCCATAACGCATAGTCCAGCCTCCGTGTATTCATTGGGATTCTTATTTTCCATTTGAAATTCTGGCTGTTCTTACCATCTTGATGATAAGTAAGTAAAGATCACAATCAATCAAATCAAGGAGGCAAAGAAAATAATAGATGATGAATGATTTTATAACCTTGTTGATCCCTAATATTAAGAATGTTCTATATTCATTTGTTTTCTTTTAATCTTCCAGCTTCCCTTTACTTTTGCCAATTCTGGAACCAGAATATGCAGCCAATAAGATAGTTGATGCTATCTTGCAAGAACAAGTGTACTTGTATATGCCAAGATTTTTGTACATCGTGATGATTTTGAAAAGGTAACAAGATCAGCTACTCTGGACTTGCTAATATGTCAGTTAACAACTTCTTCCAGTCTCTTAAGGATGAGGCACTTTCAAAGTATCTGTTTAGTGAATTTTGATCCTCCATTGTGCCCGTTTTTCCAACGGAGTCTTAAGTTTGCCTCTTTGCTGTGTGGACTTTCTTTCTGAGTCTGGAAAACGGTATTAGGTCTTTCCAGTCATCTCAGGATTGGGTTGGATTTCCTGGATGATCTGTGGACAGACTGAAATGAGGCTCTTAAGAGAAATCCTTTGTAGTGTTTCCTACCCATAGAATCATCATGTCGGAATCACTCTTGTTTCCTCCCAGCACAGGGGCCCAATGCCAAGGCCCATGTCTGAGCCGAATGTATCAGGAATCTGTAGCATGGGCAGAATGCCAGTAAGAATAAAGTTGTACTAGACGAGGATCAAAGAATCGGTAGGTAAGAGGCGGGCATCTGAAGCACTAAGCCCTCCTCAGAAGCACACTAGTTTCCCTCTGCCCATCTGCCTAAGTCCTCTGCTGGGCTTGGGTGCTGAGTCTCCTTAGTTGCCTTTCGCTACCACGTAACCCACTGTAGGAACAGTGAGGCCGACTTGCTGAAGCAGCTATTGATTCTCTCTTTCAATTCATCACCTGAGCTGTAAGAGTCTACCCCCCCCCCCCCACACACACACACACAGGGCTTTCTGTTTTTCAAGGAAGTGCATTCCTTTCTCGAACGATTATCTTGACATCTGTATCATCTTAACGTCCACGGGCTCCAGATTTCCTCTTCAGCACTCTGGCTAATTTCTCTTTCAGGTATTTTTCACATAGATGCCACATGCTTCACATCTAGCCCGTGGTTGGTAGTTAGTGACCTCTGTATAAGGAAATGTCTTTCTGCTTCAGTTAATTGTGTGCACATACTGAACCCAGAAACTCCTAGATTCTTTTTATCTGTCACAGGGGTTACAGGTCTTACAAAAGTCATATGGAGAAAAGGTAGACAGTATTTTGCAATATGGGGTTATAATCCACTAAGATTGCAATTTGAAATATGTAATTATAATTCACTAAATCTGACTCTCCACGTACCCCTTGTTCTCTTTTGTGTGTTTACTTATGATTAGTGCTCTCACAGCTTCTAGATTAGTGAGTGTTCACAGTGAGGCAGGTACTTACCTACTAAAGGTTTTGCAGTCTAGGGGCTGGAGCGATATAGTACAGTGGGTAGGGTGTTTGCCTTGCACACAGCCAACCCGGGTTCAATCCCCAGCATCCCATATGGTCCCCTGAGCACCGCCAGGAGTAATTCCTGAATGCAGAACCAGGAGTAACCCCTGTGCATCGCCGGGTGTGACCCAAAAAAGAAAAAAAAAAGTATATAAAGTTTTGCAGTCTAGTAATGCTGATTAGGAAGCACATAGCACATCGTTCTAGTTTTTCAAATAATTACAGGGTGATAGCTACTTTTATTTGCTCAGGATCCTCGTTTGAGAGAGACCCACATAGTCCCTGAGTGGGCTTTGAAACATGGAAAGAGGGATAATATCACACACGTCATTTCATTTTCTTCACACCTATCACACATTTTCTTCAAATGTCCCTTCAGTGGGTGTTAGCAGTTGCTACTGTGTACCGTGCTTTGCTGACATTCTCGGATCTGGGTTTGTTAGCAAAGAATTAGAAACAAGAGACCCTGCCCCTATGGAAATAGCTTTGGGGGTGTTGTAGTGGTGGAGAACAAACCAACAAACAGGTAAGGGGGGAAATTCTGTGTGGTCATAAGAGCATTGAAGAAATAGGAAGTGTGAGATCCAAAGGTTCAAGTTGAAGTTTGATTTTTAGTCTGAGCCTCAAGGTGGTCTAATAGAGAACACTTCACTGGAGAGCTTAAGCCGAAGAGGGCAGGACCATATGAGGTGGTACCCTGGGCTGCTCCCTGAAATTCCAGCCCCGGGTCCCATCCTGAACCTCCCCCTCTGAACCAGCTGTTCTTTTTACTGTTCCTCTCCATGCTCTGCAGTGATCCTCAGGACGAGCAGTTCTAGAACATTCTGTCAGGCGGAGCCAGTGGAGATGGGGAAGATAAACAGGCTCAGTTAGGTTTTGCCAAAGGTCAGGGGAACCATAGCATCTTCTCCTCACAGCAGTTCCAGGAAGAAAGATCGATGACCTCCTTCACACACACTGGAAGAAACTGAGACATGTGTGCTCAGTTTCTTCCTCAACTAGCTCTGGGAATAATAGAGCTGGAATTCAAGCGCATCTCCTTCGGTTCCACAGGGCTTCACTGCCTCTGTCAGTCATGACACAGTGTATTGGACCTTTGGAAATTGATAGGCAAAATGAGCCAAAGCCTCGGAAAACTAGGGCAGATCGGGAAACCGGGGTTAGTGTCCGTCTTCGAACAAGCCTGGGATGACCCAAAACGTGCACATGCTTAATGCTTGCTTAAGCGGATGACTTCATCTGGGTTAAGTCAGTGATGGCCCTTTTTGGCTAAGCTGGTGAAGTGACCAAGTGTCTTGTCATGCTCTTTTCAGCCTGCTGCCCACCAAGACTGCACAGCTTGTTCTTGAGTATATGGGTGGCCTCAACCTCATGGATCATTTTGTTGGCCAAAAGAAAATAAACTGAAGACCAGCCTCCCTGGCGATGTCCTCCAGGACTCAACACTGAATAATGCTCGTTTCATCGAAAGGAAGTGTTTTTGTCCGCAGACAGCACCTGCAGAATGCAAGTGCCATTCTTGTGCTTCCGTCTGAACCAGCTTTTTTAACCGATGCTTTTGAAAATATTGCTGTGTGGAGCTGGAGTGATAGCACAGCGGGTAGGGTGTTTGCCTTGCACACAGCCGACCCGGGTTCGATCCCCAGCATCCCATGTAGTCCCCTGAGCACTGCCAGGAGTAATTCCTGAGTGCAGAGCCAGGAGTAACCCCTGAGCATCGCCGGGTGTGACCCAAAAAGAAAAAGAAAAAAAGAAAATATTGCTGTGTGTGTTGTTGTGCGTCTTATGTTTTAATTTTTAAAAACCTCACATTCTGTCACCATAAGGGAACTGATTGTTGCCTCTGTCACTGTGAGGTGGATTAAGAGTGCAGATGGTGATGCTTGAACCCGACGTGGCTGACAAATGAAGCATACATAGGGCATTTTAACTGAAATGTTCTCTCCTAAGGACACTTAACCTGGCCTCTTAACCTGAAATTTTCTGAGACGGTACCAAGTGGGTAAAGAGGCCCAATCCCCGTGGCCTTCTTTCCTTAGCATGTATGCAAAGGTTCACTTATCCATCCTATGGACAGTCACAGCTCAGGGTCAGTGCTGTTGCAATAGAGGGTGCTGGGCTGCTTTACTGCATGTGCTCTCAAAGACCAGGAGCTTCTGATCGTTGATCAGTTCTAAACAGGATCACGTCTCTTTCCAGAAGAAATCAAAGAACGCCTGTGTTTTACCCTGCAGATTGTGTTATACTTCATTAGCTAGTCTGCCAATCATCAATCCAGAAAACATAGCCACATCGTTAACTTCAAGTGTTTAGTTTGGTCCTTTAAGTTGGGATTCACTTGTAGGTATACTTCCACAGAATGGGCCATGTTAGGGTGTGTATTCCGCGGGGCTGCCTTCCTTTCAGATCTGTTGTTCTCTTAGTTTAATCAACTGGCCAACCACTTTCATGCTTTGGAGATTAACAATAAAAGCAAGATTAAGAAAAATATGTTAATTACCATATCTCTGGAACTCCTTCCCAGGCTGGTGGAGGCACCTGCCTTGTGAGAACAATGACAGCCTTTGTCCCAGTACCCTTTGTGAGGAAAACAGGAAAGGCTAAGAGGTACCTTCGAAGAGTCTAAGGAAATGAGCATTTGAATATGTTAGGAGTTATGATGCTGTGGGAAGGGCAACATTCTCACTAATGTGAAGTCTGAAATCCACCAATGACTGATTATTCTTGAGCTACCCAAATGATTCTAACAGTTCCGTCTCTCTATTCAGAAATCTTCCCTTAAAAAAAAATCCTGTCCCAAGATAATAAAAGTGATAGTTCGTGTTTATTGTCCCTGGCGTGAGGCTAAGTCTTTCAGACACACAGTATTTCATTACCCAGGAGCACCGCATCATTGCTCAAAGAATAATAAAGGTATTTGGTGTGTGCCAGAGAATAAAAGACATTTTATCACAAAAGTGGTGTAATACTCAACGGTAGATGTGTGTTCACAAGATCAAAGGCCTCTTCGACTAACCAGCTGATGCTCCAAGCCCTGGCTTAACAGGTTAATTAAGAGAGAGGCATAATATTGCTCCCGTATTGCAATTCCAAAAGCGTATATTCCAGGGGCCTCTCTATTTAGTTGAAGAATAAAGAAGAGACTCTTGGGGGATTTAGTGGAACAAAGACCCAAGTCACAGTGGGCGTCTACCACAGCCTAACAGTATTAACAGCAATTATTTCTAATTGGAATGCGTCTTGGCTAGGCAACTACAAAGACCTGAAATTCAATTGTGGTTTTACAAGACCCATAAAATTGTCTAAACAAATTCAGATTTACTTGAAACACTCATCTGAGAAGAGACCACATGTAAATGAGGGGATTCTAGAGAGTAATAAATAACAAGGTGATTTAATACCACTGAGACGCAGGCATTCTTGGCATGTGTTCCATCTCGGCACCCATCTGCCAACTGAAACCTAATGAAGCCAGGCTTGTTTAATAGTCCAACACCCAAGAAAGCCGCAAGAAAGGGACGGTTAATAGTGAAGGGCTACAGCCCAGCAACCCCGGTAGAGGCGCTCTGCCCTCCGGGACGGCACCATTTACTCACCTTTAATCACCATGCTGCAGATGCATGAAGGACTCTTGGTATTAGAAGATTGAGCGGAACTGCCTGATGACACCTGGTGTTTGTTTCATTCCTTACATTGTAATGCAGTGACAGTCACCCTGGCTGCTGTCACAGAATATAATCAGAGCAAGGAATTGAGGATGAGGGTGCCAGCAGGGTCATCTCTTTGTCAAGGTCTCTTTCTGAATTACAGACAGCCTCCCTGTGCTCCCCCAATGGTCTGGGCATGGGGAGAGAGACAGAGAGAGAGACGGAGACAGACACAGAGACATAGAGAGAGAACGAGAGAAAGAGAGAGATCAAGTGAGAGATCGAGAGAGAGAGATCTTGCCCCTCTAGCAAGACCACTTATTTAATCATGATGGATCCACCCTTGTGAACCTAATTTAATCCTAATTACTTCGCAGATCCCTTCCACATACGAATTTGTACGAATTTGAATGAACATAAGCATCTCGTCTAAGGTTTTCGGATTTTTTTTTAAATTCTGGTCACTGGTGACCTTTATATCTCCTACATTCTAATGTTGAGGAGGTTGCAGTTTGTCAAATAAAATCATTTGGAATGTTGAGGGCAGAAGATCTCGGAAATACCTGAAACAAAAGTCACTCCAAATTTCTCTGAAAGTTTGAGCCACTAGGTAAAATTTTGTGGGAAGCCAGATACCTCATTGCAGATCCAGACACCTTATTGCAGATGCTTTGGTAAGGAGGTACAAGTCAGTGTAAGGCTCATGGTGTTTCCAGGCTACTGATCTGTTTTGATTTCATCGGAAGATCCTCCCACTCACTTTCTTTTCAGTTAGACGGCAGTTTCCCTTTGCTGTGGACTCCACAAGCCAGAGCTGAGCCAATGACCTGGTCTCTTCTCCACCCTCATAAACCATCATTGAAATTTCAGATTGGAAGCCAAACTAGGAATGCCAGTAACCAGTGCACCAACCCCTGCTCCACATTTTCTGGGGGAGGCTGCCGATTAAGTGGTGATGGCAAAGACATGTCTGTATACTCAGACAAAAAAAACCCTGAGCATCTGAGCCAGGAGGAACATTGACACAGCACGATTAAGATAAGACATCTCGACTTAAGAGCATTTGTTTTGGAACCAAGGTCTCAAACACACTTGGTTTGTGTATCTGTGTTTATCACTGCATCCAACGAAGACGGGCCTCCAGACCACACTGACCCTCCGTGAATCCCAGGAGGCCTGTCAGCCCTGACTTCCTGGGCCTTTTCTCTCTGGGGGTCTGTCAGCATGGTTTTCTTCTCCAGAGGAAGCACAATTCTGTCACCATCTTAGCAACCCTTTCCCCGGGGAAACCGTCTCTTCCTCCCTCACCCTGAAGACTCAACTGAAAAAGCAGACATCCCTTCAGCCCCATGAACCAATCTCTTCAGGCCTTGATGTCTGCCTCCACTCCCTTCTTTCTCTCAGCCCCCAAGGAATTAGTGAACTTTCCCAGGTTCGCCCTGTGTCCTGTTGATGCAGGAGGACCACCCCCCCGAAAACACACACATACACACACACATACACACACACACACATACACACACTTCGTCCCCCTCAGGACTTCCTCAGAGGTTCCTCTTCCACATCTCAGCATCCCATATCCTTCCAGAACACTCAACACTGCAAAACCGAAAGCTAGCAAAAGGAAATTTTATTTAAAAAACAACCCTTCCCACTCCAGCTGCTCCCACACTCTTCTCCTTAGCAGTATCGGTAGTCCTGGTATTACTGCCTTGCATGCCCTGGTACCACAAGACCCCTTGAGCATACCAGGTGTGACCCCACCCTGGTCCCCAATACCAAACAACAGCCATATATTATCAGGACTGATGTCGCTTGAGAGCTTGTTTGGAGGTTCTAGCAGGGGAGCGCAGCTACTTGTATACCCTCGACCGAAGACCCAGATCCTCCAAATTCCAGTAGGCGGGGGTTCACACCCACCAACTGGCCCCCTGGCGCTGTGTAATCCCATCAGCGGCCAAGACTCTGAGACTATAAAAACCAGCTCCCGGAGGAGATCAGTGCAGTCTTCTGCCCCCGTGCCTGGCTGTTCCTCGCCGGGGCCCGTTGGAGGGGAGCGGGTTGTGCTTTCCTCCCCGCCCCGACCAGGGCTCCGGCAGCTGAAGACCTCCAGGATCAGCCACCACCATGCTGAGACCACTCACCGCACACATGAAGGTACTGGCAGAGGGACAAAGCCACGCGGGTTCCGGGGCTGAGATCTCCCAGCTTACTCGGATTGGAGTCAATCATCCTCCACCCAGATCCTCCAAATTCCAGTAGGCGGGGGTCACACCCACCACCTGGCCCCCTGGCGCCGTGTAATCCCATCAGCGGCCAAGACTCTGAGACTATAAAAACCAGCTCCCGGACATCTTATTATGACATCTCATTCCTACTTTGACAAACTGGCAGGCTACCGAATGTAGCCTGCCCACACGGCAGAGTCTGGCAAACTCCCCGTGGCGTACCCAATATGCCAAATACCAGTAACAATGATGGGTCTCATTCTCCTAAAGAGCCTTGAATATAATCTCAGGGCCAGGATGAAGGAGACGTTACTGGGGCCTGCTCGAGGCAATCGACGAATAACAGGATGATTTGTGATTGTTGTGATTTGTGATGTCGCTTAGGGGACTTCCTGAGCACTGTTTGGGAGACAACACCCCCCCTCCCAAGATGAGAACGCCATTCAGGTCTCCCAAAGAAGAATAGAAAGAGCTATGCTTGGAATATCACGTTTCACTCAATTGAGAGAAAGAATTCGGAGTTCTGACATCC